GACTTAAATCAGCTAAAACCACAAGTCATTAAAACAGGCTAGGATTACTTTTTTTTTTTTTTAATAGACATTATGATAGCCGCTGAGAGCTGAAGAAGGTGGGATAATAGCAATGGACTGCACTAATCTGGTGTTTTGACTGAACAGCCTCTTGCTGCGTGAATGGTCTCCCTGAAATCTGCATGAATTTGGGGGAGCAAGGGAAAGGAGGCAGAGAGGTCCCACAGAAACCACTATAGGATGCATCCACTATAATTCTGCTTTGGTCTGTGGTGCATCCACAGCAATTCTTATTCAGAAAGACTCCTGGCATCTTCTGGAGAGGCTCCATCACATCTGATCACTAGCATAGCACAGAGCATGTAATGAAGTAATACTTCATCTTCATTTATTAAAACAGCTGTCTAAGGTCATAAATACAACGAGTTGTTTTTATCACCAGGAGTACTCCCAGAAGCATGAGGATGATGATTAACATCATCTCTCCAGCTCTGCTTACATTTGCAACCTCGAGGCAGATGCTTGGCTCCAGTGTTGTTTAAAAGCCATCAGAAGATGTCTTAATCACCTGTGATCTCCGCAAGAACTTTGGTGGCTGCTACATTGATTTGACCCAAAGAGTGCTCCTCAGGCTAAGATGAAGGCAGGCTTCTTTCTTATTGATTAGCCAAATTGTCTAGCCTTCCTGTTTTGTCTCCTCATTGGCAATTAAGGGAGAAATCCATTGAGGCAGTGGTGGCAGTGAACCTTTCTCTCTGATACAAATAACTTTAATCAGGCCTCTTAGTTAATTTCTGGAATTGTTCTGTGTTGACCTCTGTTTGAAGCGGGATTTTCATCCTACAGGAGTCAGTAAAACATACACATTTTACTGTTGGCAAAGCAGTGGTGACATCTTTCCCTTCTTATTTACAATCCTAAACACAGCACTGATTCCAGTAATCTTTCCAGCACTAAGAGCTGTTACTAATTCCCTTGAAGGAGAACCTGGGTGGGTTTTGTTGGGGCAGTTTTAAACCTACATAATTAAAATTAAAACAAGTAATGATAATCCAGGAGATTTGGTGGCGGGGGGTGGGGAGGAGGGTGGGGTGGTGGTGTCCAATTTTCAATTTGTTTTTAACATCCAGACAGTACAGAGGCCGTGATGTTCCTCAGCCTAAAACCAATACTGATACCTAAAATAGAACCAAAAGATCGTTTTGGTGGCTCAACTAAACAATGGGGATTAGCTTTCTACACCCAAATCAGAGTTAGAAAAGAGATTGCTTAATCCAGGCCTCAGCATTTAGTCATTTTCTTACTTGTGTGACTCCTTTTCTGTCTGAACAATGAAAATGCTACACTTCGGTAATGAGAAATTAAGCATTTCCTCACCTCTTCCCCAGCAATCGCTGGTTTAAACTCCCCCTCCCCACAAATGAATGCATAAATCCTTTATCTCCACCTTCCCCATTTCTGTTTTATACTGTTTCAAGAAAGGCCTGGACCTGTTTGTCGTTCTTAAGGACAAGTGATATTTCAGACTAGGAACTACTGAAGTAATTGGGGATGTTCACAATTTATGTCACTGTGACTTCATCGCTATTATGTGATGAAAGGCAAAAGAACATGGTTGTGGGAGCAGGAGACTGGCGTTGGGACACTAATGCAGGCTGAACTGGGGGTGAAGCCCCCTCCCTAGCCAAGAGCTTTTCCTCCCCTTATGCACATGTACTCAGTTTGTCATGCTGATTCCTGCTCCCAGCATGTGCCAGTGACACACAGAGTTTTTTATCTTTAATCCGTGAAATTTGGTAAATGGAGATGCTCGGGTAGTTCTGTTTGAGCAAGAGTATTATTTACCATACGTTTTCCTTACTAGAAAATGCTCCTTTGCACTTGGGGTGCCAAAGAGGCGCGTGAGGATTTTGGCAGGGAGGAAAGGTTTGACTTACCCAGGTGCTATCCCCAGCAGCGCAGTGGCTTTACAAAGCTGATGTCATCTATTTACATTTGTAAATCACAGTATGGAGCAAAATGCAGCAATATGAAAGATTAGTCTTCATTTGGCAAAGTAACTGCCAAATTAAATGATGACAGATGGAAAAACTAAGTGCTGTGGTGTCAGGGGTCTGGTGACAGCCCTCTGCTTTAGTAAGAGGTAAATATATAAACCTCAGCTGGTGCCTGCAGAAGATACACATCCAACCTAAAGACAGCCCTCGGATTTTGTTTTATTTAATCAATACCCCCTATTGAAGAGAGCAGCGTATGGCATTAGAACTAAAACAGTGTTATTAGAAAATGATATACTGCACATTAGGATGTATAATTCATGTCGCCTTCATTTGCTCAGGCCGTCGTGAAAATCCATAAATCATTTTCTCGTTCATGCACCGCCGAAGTGCCATTTGTCATTCCGCTTTAGAGGGCTGCCTCAGAGCTCCGCCGCTCTGCGGAGCCCACCGCTCCAGTCGCAAAATGGAGGGGAGCGGAGCCGGGGGGGGGTGTCTCACCGCTGTGGCTGCCCTCGCGAGGAGGGAGGGAAGGAGGAGGGAGGCGGCTCCCCTGCACCTACATATATTTCTATATATGTATGGCCCCGCGTGGTTATTGCCCTCGGAACTGAGAAGCGCTGCGTGGAGATCGCCCCGACGCCGCCTCCGCGGGGTGGAATGGGGGTTGGTGGATGTGCCGCGCCAGCAGCCCGGACCCCCGCCTCCCGCTTACCTCCGGTTCCCCCCCCCTCCCCCCCGGTGGGGAAAAGGGGTTCGGCCCCAAGCGGGCGGGCAGGGGCCCCTCTTCTGCCAAGGTCCCCCGGGCTCGGCTGGTCGCGCCCGAGCTGACCGCTTTCCTCGAAGTGGACAGACGTCGCCGCTGTCGGAGCTCCGGCAGCGGGGAGGGTTTAGAGATGGGCTGCTTCGGGCCAAGGCAAATCGCTGGAGGCGGCCGTGTCTCGAACGCACCAGCCCCTTGTACCGACGAGCAAGAAAGGCACGAACTCGGGGGGCCGTGTCTGAGTCTGGTGCGGGGGAAGCACACCCGGCTTCCTTACGCATCCACTGGATAGCGACGGCCAGGCTTTTCGTGACGGAATCCGTTTTATTGGGAAGCCCTCACCGGAGTCGCCCCGCGGCGCTGCCTTGCCCCTCTATAAGCGCTGGGCAAGACGGTGTACCAATGGGGTATTTCCCTGCCTGCCGCGGCGGCGGGCAACACCGGCGGCACCCCCGGGCACAGGCACGGTTGCCGCTGTCCTGCCGCTGTCACACTCCCGCGGCGCGGCAGCACCCGGTACGGCTAGGCCAAGCTTCGTAAACCGCGTAGCCGCTGGCGGGCGTGAGCGCGGTAACAGGAGAGCTGCGGGCGGTGGGAAGCGCCCGCGGATGCCGGCGGCAGGAGACGGGGGCCCGGGGCCGGCGGAGGGGAGCCGGTACTGCTGCCCGGGCGCAGTGTGCCGCTGCCGCCGCTGGGGGGTGCCCGCCGCTCGCGATTGCGGCCGCTGGCGGGGGGCGGGGCTGGCAGTAGAGAGCTCGTAGCAGCCGCAGGGCCGGACGCCTGGTCCGCTGAGCCCGCGCCTGGAGCTCTCGCGTCTCCGTGCAGGCCGGTAGCTGAGCAGCGCTGCTGTGCCCCAGGGGCTGTGCGCCCGGTGCGCCGTGACCCGCTTCGCGGGGGCACTTCCACGAACTGCTGGCCCTTGGCGTGACGCCGAGGTCGGTGTGGGCGCAGTGGCGTGAGCTTGCTTGTGCCCTCGCCGCGGGTGGCCCCGAGCTCCCCTTCCCGAGATCGGGAGCGCGTTGACAGGGGTGGGAGCGCGGTGACAGGCGTGCGACACGCACAAGTTCGGGAATGCGAAGAGCTGCGTTTCCGGGAAGGAGAACGCATCCGAGCGTACAGTTCATTGATACGTGTGGAAGGGAGCCGGTGCCTGCCGAGGGATTAGAGATGGGGTCAGAGCAGCAGCTGCTACTACCTGCTTTATGTTTCTCTTCATCAACAATAAAATAACTTTTTTTGTGAAAATATGAGTATTTAATCCTTTTAAATGTTACTTTATTTTGTGAAGTTTAGGACTTCTCAGCTGTGCAGGGCCCATGGGCAGGCCCCCCACCCCGCCACCCCCGAGCACTGGCAGATGTTTGGGCTCCACCCGCGAACTCCTGCCTTGATCCCCCCCCCCCCCACACCCAGGGTGCGACGCTCTCCGCAGTGCCAGTGCGGCTTCGCAGCCAAAGGCATCGATCACAAACGTGTCAGTCGAGCACCTGACGTGCGATAGACACCATTGGTAGATGGACTTTATTTAGCACGGAGCTGCCTCCTCACTGTCTTAAGAGGAAGCAGAGCTGGGCGGGAAGGGAGCCGGCGCGGGTTACTGACATCCGCGGGCGCCGCGAGCCCAAAGCCCTCGGTGTAGGTTCGGAGCGTCTACCGGCGTTAACAGCTTCGGCAGCGGGGAAAGCGGGTGTACAGTGAGCACCAACACTGGAAAACCACCAGGCCAGGGGCCGTGAGCCCCCGCGAAGGCTCCCTGCCCGGCCCCGCCGCACTTGCGGCACCCGGTGACAGAATATATGACATGCCAGGCCTCCCTCTTCCGTGACGTTCGTGGAAGTTCCGAAGGGTAAATCACGGGGAAAAAAACTCGGCGCAGGTTTATGATACTTAATTTGGCTGGAGCTGGAAACACTGCACTGACAGAAAGTTGCACTTTCTCCACTGACTAATGAGCTAAGGCGGCCCGCTGCGGGTGTATGTAAATAATCTCATGTTTCCCCTTGTTGTTTATGCTCTAAAAACGTTACAGCGCCCGACCTGGGGTAGGAAAGTTAGAAGCTGGTGGAAATTCCCTCTCCAAGGAGAGGGCTGTTAACAATTACCCGTGTCTGCGCTGACGACGTGCGGTGATCTCCCTGCCCAGCGGCTGTGGTGGGAGAACGAACGTTCGTGGAGGAGGGAAGAGAGGCGGAAAGAGCCTCGGGAGCTGCAGGGTTAGTGTCGCTCTGCCTGCCTCCCTGCCTCCCTGCCTGCCTGCCTGCCTTGCTCGCCTTGCCCGTCTTGCCTGCCTGCGCGCTCCCCGCTCTCCTATCTCTGACGCAATATACTCGACGTGCTCCGCGGCCAATAGGGTTCCGCCCCCGGGGGCGTTGCTGCCGGCTGATTGGTTGGCAGGAGCCGATCGCTGCGCAAAAACAGAAAAGCCGAGCGCTACCGGCTCAGAAACTGTCGGCAGAGATCAGAGGAGCTGGAGCCTGAGCAGGGGCTGGGACCGGAGCCGGGACGGGAGGCGAGCGGCGGCGGCGGCGGCGGCAGCAGCAGCAGCAGCAAGCAGAAAGACAGACACAGAGAGAGGGGCTAGACGCAAAAGCAGCAAGAGAGGAAAAAAAACTCATCAGCACGTCCATAAAAAGCAGTGATGCTGAACATAACAATAAAAGAAGAAAATGAAAGACTATTAATAGAAGAGAGAAACAGTTAAAATCTTTAAATAAAAAAAGAGGAAAGCCCTGAGAAATCGGGGAATGAAAGTTTTGGGTAGCAAAGCTGCGCTCTGCCTTTTTTTGATATGAAATCTTTTTGGGGGTTATAATTTTTTTTTTTTTTTTTTTTTAATTTCGCGGGTTTCTGCCTTTTCCTTGCATCTGAAGAGGGCATGTCCGCCGGCTCCTCCAGCAGCACCTACCCCTCCGGCTCCCACCAGGAAGACAAACCGAGGACAATCTTGAAATATAACAATTTGCTCCTTGGGATTTGCTGCTGCTGCCTCCGCCGCTGCTGCTGCCGCGGTGCAGTGCCAAGACTCTCGGAATAAATAAAAGCGGGCTACTGTGTATCTCTAGATCCATCCAGCTAATAGCTATTACTAGTTGTCCGTTTATTTCGAAGATCACAGATGAAGTGGGGACGCCTGTTTTCTTCATTGGGTCAGCGTGTGAAACAATAATACTCGTAACAAAAAAGAAGGGAGATGGGGGAGAAAAAAAATCCTAACATGAATCAGAAGAAATAATATCGAGCACCCCCCCCCCTCTAAATCAACCACTTCCCCCCTCCCTTTCCTTCCTCCTCCCCTGATCCCTCTCTCTCCACACGCTCGCAGGCGCGGACACACACACATACACACACACACACACACACACACACACACACAGCTAGACACGCAGAGGTACACACGCTGTAGTGTGTATTTTCGGAGGAGGAGGTGGTGGTGGCTTTTGGAAAAAGAGGAAGAGGTGGTGTTGGGGAGGGGGTATCTCTTTCCCCGTTTGGAGATGATTGTGCTATTCCTCTTTGCCTTGCTCTGGATGGTGGAGGGGGCCCTTTGCCAGCTCCATTACACGGTGCAGGAAGAACAGGAGCATGGCACGTTCGTGGGGAATATCGCCGAGGATCTGGGCTTGGACATTACAAAACTTTCGGCTCGCCGCTTTCAGACGGCGCCCAACTCCCGCAGCCCTTACCTGGAGCTCAACCTGGAGACTGGGGTGCTCTACGTGAATGAGAAGATAGACCGGGAGCAGATCTGCAAACAGAGCCCCTCCTGCCTGCTGCATCTGGAGGTCTTCCTGGAGAACCCCCTCGAGCTGTTCCGGGTGGAGATCGAGGTGCTGGACATCAACGATAATCCTCCCTCCTTCCCGGAGCCCGACCTCACCGTGGAGATCTCGGAAAGCGCCACGCCGGGCACCCGCTTCCCGCTGGAGAGCGCCTTCGACCCCGACGTGGGCACCAACTCGCTGCGCACCTACGAGATCACCCCCAACAGCTACTTCTCCCTAGACGTGCAGACGCAGGGAGACGGCAACCGCTTCGCCGAGCTGGTGCTGGACAAGCCCCTGGACCGGGAGCAGCAAGCAGTGCACCGCTACGTGCTGACAGCGGTGGACGGCGGGCAGCCCCAGCAGCGCACCGGCACCGCCCTGCTCACCATCAGGGTGCTAGACTCCAACGACAACGTCCCCGCCTTTGAGCAGCCCGTTTACACCGTGTCGCTGCCGGAGAACTCGCCGCCGGGCACCCTGGTGCTTCAGCTCAACGCCACTGACCCCGACGAGGGTCAGAATGGCGAGGTGATCTACTCCTTCAGCAGCCACATCTCGGCCCGCGCCCGGGAGCTCTTCGGCATCGCGCCGCGCACAGGGCGGCTGGAGGTGAGCGGCGAGCTGGACTACGAGGAGAGCAGCGTGTACCAGGTGTACGTGCAAGCCAAAGACCTGGGGCCCAACGCCGTCCCGGCGCACTGCAAGGTGCTGGTGAGGGTTCTGGACGCCAACGACAACGCGCCCGAAATCAGCTTCTCCACCGTCAAAGAGGCGGTGAGCGAGGCGGCGGCGCCGGGCACCGTGGTGGCTCTCTTCAGCGTCTCGGACCGCGACTCGGAGGAGAATGGGCAAGTGCAGTGCGAGCTACTGCAGGGCGATGCTCCCTTCCGCCTCAAGAGCTCCTTCAAGAACTACTACACCATCGTCACCGAGGGGCCGCTGGACCGCGAGCAGCCGGGCGGCGACGCCTACACCCTCACCGTGGTGGCCAGGGACCGTGGCGAGCCGCCGCTGAGCACCAGCAAATCCATTCAGGTGCGGGTGAGCGACGTGAACGACAACGCGCCGCGCTTCAGCCAGCCCGTCTATCAGGTCTACGTGAGCGAGAACAACGTGCCCGGCGCCTACATTTACGCCGTCAGCGCCACCGACCGGGACCAGGGCGCCAACGCCCAACTCGCCTACTCCATCCTGGAGAGTCAGATCCAGGGCATGTCCGTCTTCACCTACGTTTCCATCAACTCCGAGAACGGCTTTCTCTACGCCCTCCGCTCCTTCGACTACGAGCAGCTCAAGGAGTTCAGCTTTCAGGTGGAGGCCCGCGACGCCGGTGAGGAGCCTCAGCCTCTGGCCGGCAACGCCACCGTCAACATCATTGTGGTGGACCAGAATGACAACGCTCCCGCCATTGTCAGCCCCCTGCCCGGCCGGAACGGCACCCCGGCGCGGGAGGCGCTGCCCCGCGGAGCTGAGCCGGGCTACCTGGTAAGCCGGGTGACAGCGGTGGACGCCGACGACGGGGAGAACGCCCGCCTCACCTACAGCATAGTGCGGGGCAATGAGGCCAGCCTCTTCCGCATGGACTGGCGCACCGGGGAGCTGCGGACGGCGCGCAGGGTGCCGGCCAAGCGTGACCCCCAGCGCCCCTACGAGCTGGTCATCGAGGTGCGCGACCACGGGCAGCCGCCGCTCTCCTCCACTGCCGCCATACAGGTGGTGCTGGTGGACGGCGCGGCCGAGCGGCCCAGCGGCGGTGGCGGCCTGGGCCCGGGAGCGGGAGCGGGCGCGGTGGGCGGCGGCGGCGGGTCCGGCGAGCATCGCCCCAGCCGCTCTGGGGGGGACAGCTCACTCGACCTCACCCTTATCCTCATCATAGCCCTGGGCTCCGTCTCCTTCATCTTCCTGCTGGCCATGATCGTGTTGGCAGTGCGCTGCCAGAAGGAGAAGAAGCTCAACATCTACACCTGTCTGGCCAGCGACTGCTGCCTGGGCTGCTGCTGCTGCTGCCCTTGCTGCAGCCGGCAGGCGCGGGCCCGCAAGAAGAAGCTCAGCAAGTCGGACATCATGCTGGTGCAGAGCTCCAACGTGCCCAGCAACCCGGCGCAGGTGCCGGTGGAGGAGTCGGGGAGCTTCGGATCCCATCACCACAACCAGAACTACTGCTACCAGGTTTGCCTCACCCCCGAGTCCGCCAAGACCGACCTGATGTTCCTCAAGCCTTGCAGCCCCTCCCGCAGCACCGACACCGAGCACAACCCCTGCGGGGCAATCGTCACCGGCTATGCCGACCAGCAGCCCGACATCATCTCCAACGGCAGCATCTTGTCCAGCGAGGTAAGGCCGGGCCGTGCCCCCGCTTCCACTCAGCCACCCACCTCCGCGCGGGCCGTGCCCCGCCGCTGCACCGCTGGCTTTCCCCCAGGCCCGTGTCGGTTTCTCGGAGCTCCCGTTCCCCCTCTCCCTGCGCTTTGATTCCCGCCTCGTCCTTCTTTTTCCCCCTTTAGTCCATTCTGCCGCCACTCTTCTGCATCTGACACTTGGGAGGCTGCAGCGGCAGGAGAGGGGAGTGCGGCCCCCCCGCCCATGGTTCCTTCTCCCTCTGGCTCTGGTACCGCTGCAGCCAAGCACGTCCCCCCGCCCCGGTGGGTGTGAAGGGAGCTGGCCCCGGCCGGGCAGCGTAGGGTGGGGGGACAGGGGTCCTCCGGGACCGTTAGCTGCAAAGGGGTAGCCTCTGGGTTGGGTCGGGGGGGGTGGGGGTGTGTGCTCAGAGGCATAATCACAGGGGTTTCTGAAGCAACACTTTAAACCTGTGTCTTTCTTTTTTTTTCTTCTTGAAATCTTTGGATGTGCGATTAAGGCTTTGGGGGAACCCCCCTCTGGGACTGTGACAATCTCTACAGTTAGCAGCAACTTTAATTAATTTGTGGATTAGGGCTTACTAATTGACTTTTCTTTCCTCTATCTGAACAGCTCTTTATAACCCAAAGCTGAGTTCACAAAGGAAAGCATCAAGAGTTTCCGTGAAATTATATGCAGAGACTTAACGTCCCCTCCCGTTAAACATGTTGCCTGCATTGTGTTACTTTGTGTGTAGAAAATTTCTATCAAAGCATATGCCATGCCATAATATTACCCTGCTAATAATTTTCTACTGGATTAGCTCATACAAGCTCTCAGTACCTCTCTGCCTGTGCACTACTGAAAACAACACATTCCCTCTCAACATGAATACCGAAACATGAATAGTGGCCCAGCCTGGCAAAGTGGTTTGAGTGACATTTTTAAAGCATTAAGTTTTGCAGTAAAATTCCTAATATTGGCTTGTAAGATTGACCTTTCCTCAAAATACTTATGAAATTCTTGTCTTCTGTTGCCTTTTTAAGGGCTTGGGGGTATGTCAAAGTTTTTTCTTCCTCAGGGCACAGTAACTGTACTGTCTCCCTCTATTTTTATACACTGGGAATTAAAACCAGGCTGAAAACTAGATTACAGTAAGTTTTCTCTCAGACTAAGTAGTACACAACTCTAGAAATAGTTCTGCTGGGTTTTGTGGGAGTCCTTGTGTTGCTTGACAACATGCGCCGTGAGAAAACGTGTCAGAATCTCACCCCAGAAAAGCTCAGGAAAAAATCCTTCATGCCTTCCCATCTGTGCGAGTAAGAGCTGTTTTTCACCCCCTTAACATCCTAGAAACAGCTTGTGTAGGCCTACTCACAGCTAAACATTACCATTTATAGTGAATATGGTGAGGCTCTCTGGTATATTTTCTGAGGTTGGTTATAGAAATATCAAAGAATTAAAATACTTCCCAATATTTTCTTTTTCTAGACAAAACATCAGCGTGCTGAGCTCAGTTATCTAGTTGACAGACCCCGACGAGTAAACAGGTATGATCCCCTTAGCCTTGTTTTCCTTGTGCATGCTTTAGCAAGTCTGAATAGGGTGCAGAATTGTGTTTACTGCAGATGTAAAATACCAGTAAAGCCATGGGAAATCGGTCGTGTAGTTGTACTAAATAAAACACTATCAAATAAAGGAGTTTGAATTACAGCTTTTCTGAACTGGTTTCAAAACCAGCTGAAAAGAGAACAAAATCTCATATTTTATCAGTCTAAAATGTGCTTTAAATACTTCAGAATGGTTCTGTATGGTCTTCCAGAAAACATTGGGCTTCCTTGAGGTAAAGTGGAGCTATCCAGCTTAAGTAAAAGCTGCCAAATTCTTTATACCGATTACATGAAAATCGGGCAGAGTGATAACATTTAGTGTCCATTTCAGCTAACCTGCTGAGGTCTGAAAATGCCAGTTTTGTTAATGGTGGGCAGAGCACCTCTGCAACAGGAGTGCATCACGCACGAGTGGGTGAATGCAGCACCGTGTTTGGCCATGTGATGGCAGAAGAATGTTTTATGAGTTCCTCTTTCATGATTGTAATGTGAGGATGTTTCTGTGTCTAGTTCTGCATTCCAGGAAGCAGACATAGTAAGCTCTAAGGACAGTGGTCATGGAGACAGTGAGCAAGGAGACAGTGATCATGATGCTACTAATCGAGGTCAATCCTCTGGTAAGTCTGAAAAGAGAATGGAAATAGTAGCTCTCTAGGTAGAGACCCTAGAAAAAGGAACAGTTATTTATAGGAATATAATACAAGAGTGGCATAAATAATGTGATCATATTGTATGGGAGGCTGGGTTTAAGTCAGCTTGCTACTACGCCTACCTGGGCAAGGAGATGATTTTCAACCCCTTTTATTCATGGGGCAGAGTTTATTTTCCTCATCTGGGGGGAGGAGGGGAAAGGTGGGGTTAGTGTATTATTCTGCATCATTTGCTGTAGCAAATCTTCCTGCACATTGAAACAAAGTTGTTGCTACCTTTTGTAATGCAGTTTTTCCATCGGCAGCCTTGCAGAATTTCAAAGCACTAGGCAATTTTGTTTAGTAGGCACTTCAGCTGGCATGGTAGTGTGAAGGGCAGGGGGAGTTCCCAAGGGAAAGAATGAACCCAGGGACTGAATGACAGCCAGACTGAGAGGATTTTTGCTGGGGATCAGTGGAGACACATTGGGTGCTCTGAATGTGTAATACTGTAGCATTTTTTGAGGATTGTTTTTTAATTCAAATTGAGGCGCCATATAGTGTAAGTGATTTCTATGTTAATAAGGCCAAGGTATTCCTAAGTACATCTCTCTCAGTCCTGAGAAAGGAAATAAGTGATTAAGTGATTTAAAAGACTGTGATTCAATTCACCTAGAAAATATATACATTGCTGTGTTATCTCCATGTGTACAGCTTTCTGTCTTTGCTCTCATACTGTCAGCTTTTGTCTGAAAGGAATGTTTGTTTAGAGCCTATGCATTAGAATTCATTCTCACCCTCACACTGCATTTTAGCCACCAATACTTGTGCTTTCTTCCCTATCACAATCTCCAACGGTCTGGTGTGTCTTAATTCAATACAGTGATTTATTTTCCCTTCTGTGCTGTATCATGTCTAAGGATCTGCTACAAGTGTGTCATATGAAGTACTGCCAGAGTCTTTCCAGTCGTAAGTTTTTTCCCCTGCCCCCCATCTTAGAAGACACCAGGGCAAGGGACCCGCGTGCTCTGTTAACCTCCCCTATTTATTTTTTTTGAAAAGAGTTTTGGTGACATGGTTTAGTGTGAGGTGCTCCTGCCCATGTCAGGGGGGTTGGAACTTGATGATCTTAAGGTCCTTTCCAACCCTAACTATTCTATGATTCTGTGTTCCTTGCTGCTGTAGTCACTGTGCCCTTAACGATGGGAAACACAAGCACCAGGGGAAGAGGGCCCCTTTATATTGCTTCAAGTCATTAATATGCAGACCTAATGAGACTTGAGAAGAGCCAAGAGTCTCCGGAGCTCCCTGCTTCTTGCAGAGCTTCATGCTAAGTGAACAGAGTGTCTATTTTGTGTCTGGGAACCTGACAACAAACCAGGTCTTGCCAGAAGTTTACATCCGAACACAGAGCTTCTTTCATTTTTGGCCTATATATGGCGTATGATTTATTGTTGTTTTAAAAAGCTGTGTATTTAAGACTCCCCCCACACTTTCTTTTGCACTGTTTCTGATGCAGCAATCAGTGCTACTGAGTTATAAAAAGCTCCCTCTTCTGCTGCCCTCCCTGCATTCCTTTTTTTTTTTTTTTTTCCTTTACACATTTTACTGCAGCAGTCATCTCAATGAACATTTCAATCAGCTTAGTCCCTCAACGTAATGAACCATAATAACCAAACAGGAGAGAAAAGAATAAACATCTGCAGAAGGGGCTGGATTTGACTGATGGTGGGAATATAATCATATAGTTGCACATCAACTGAAAGCTATTCTCTTTTAGATACATTCAGTACTCATTGCTGTGCCTCTGCTCTTTATTCTCTCTCTCCATTTTAAAAGTAATCTATATCTCAGATATGAACACTGGAACTACAGTCAAACTTGGCATTAGTCTTTAGCTGGGTAAATACTTCACTTTCATCATCTCTGTTTTATCAAAATAGGAGAAAAAAAATCTATACTTTCAAAATAATCTCAAATCTTTAAGAATCTGATGCTGTTTATGAACTTCTGTGTTTTCCATGGTGATTACATATGAAGTAATGAAAGGTGACAACTAAGTTTGCTCTACTCACAAGTCACTGTTTGAACTGAAACATCAAATACACAGAACTTCCAATTTAACATATCGGTGCTGTGATTTGACAATAATTTGCATGCAGTTTTTAAATGCTAGTTCTAGATAAGTATTTAAATACAGATATCTATAAAAACTGCTTTAGTCTTCTACATACATATAATATAGTTTTCCTGTGAGTTTTGGGCTGAATCCTGCTGTCGTGACACGAAGACTGTGCCCCTTGACCTCAGCAATGACAAGATATTTTGATATAAAAACTTCACTCTTGCTATTAGTTTTTGGTGGTGAAATTTATGGGGAAAAATAGGAGCATAAATTTTACTTAATCTTGAATGGCTAAAGGGTATATCTGAGGGAATGCCTTCCCAGTTTTTCAGTTGTTCTGGTGCTCTATGATCAATTTGTTCTAAATTACTGAAGGAAAACACAGTGGTTGATAACATGGCAGAAGTTTGGGCTGTTCTGGATTTTGGTTTGTTTTGGGTTTTTTTTCTGTTTTCGGATAACATGCAGTATCCTATTTGTTTTCCAAAGCATTGTATTTTCATCCAAAAATATTCAGTAGGTAATTCACATTGACAAGTAGAACTCACTCCATACCAGTTTTAATCAGCAGCATGTTCTGCTTACAAAACATGATTTTACTGTTCTGTACATGACTTTTGTTACTGTCAGTAGTGAACAGTCCTGTGGCACATAAGTAGCTATTCTGTAGTAGTCCATTGCTAGCCAAGCTGACTAGTCATGGTCACAGTCAGTTATTAATTGTGAAGGAAAACATGCAGGATGAAAATCTGTAAGCATTTTGTAGATTTATCCTGCACAATTATTTAGTGACAATTCTGAACTAAGCTGCTCTTTGGATCATTAAATGTTTTACTGTGTTTTGAAATAAGATTTTAGTTCACCTCTTCACAAAATATATTTTCTTAATAGTGATTTAATCATGGTTTAAAACATGCTGGAGTGTATGTAAGAGATTCATATTGTTCCCTTTAAGGTACCACCTGAATGCCTCCTAATTATCCAGATTCTTACCTACCTTAACGTCCATGAATTATAAAAGTACTGTCATCTGCATTTAGCGGGGAATGGCAAGTAGTGGGGTACTCAAGAGCCTAATATTCATGGACTGAGTAATCATTTCATTAACTGGAATAGGAATCTAAGCTTTTTGCAAAACAACTTTCTGAAAGTGAAGAAGCGCAAGACGTTTTTGGCAAGCAGAGGAGGTGTTTCTTAAACCCAGAGTCTAATTACTTGTGCTCTTCTTTGAAAATTGTTGAAACAAAAGCTGCTATTTGTTGTAGAACAAATACAACTAATACAACACTACTACCTATTATTAACACACTATATTTCAATCATGTTCTGTAGGAGTGATTTCTAAGCATGAGGTTAGTTTATTTCCCATGGTTGATTAAATTCTTGGCCTCCCTTGTGAAATTGCCAGCTTGGGTGCCAGTTAATAGTCTGTGTGCATGTATGTTTAAATTGTATGATTAGACACCTGTCCTGCAAGATGTGGACTCATGCCATCAACATTTTTCATACGGCTGCTCATTAGCTACTCAGCTTTCTCAAGCCACACATGCAGACTTCTTCAAAATACTACCTTTGCTTCACCTTTTTCACTGAATTGGCATGATATGCACTTTGGGAGGGAATATTCAAGATGTGGAAGCTAAGTATGTACTGTCATGTATATAATATAAAATGCATCAGCTTTTTTTTTTTTTAATGTATATATAATCCCCTGGACAGTATATATTGGCTGAGATCTAAAATCAGGCTTCCACTAGTTGACTTTATGAAGGGAATTGATAAGGGTCTAATACGAAGACACAGGGTGAAATATTGCCCCACACCTGTCTAGTACAGATTAGGTAAACCCTAAGCAGGTTAGTATGCATTATTGGAGAAAAGCTATGATATTTCAGTGTTCATACAGAGAAGAATTTGAGAAGTCAGAAGAAGAATTCTAGTTATAAAGGGACAGACAAAACCAGTATTCATTCTGAGCCTGTACAGAGTGACAGCCAAATCCAGTTTTGAAGATCACTTTGGATAAGAGTCTGTCTTGGGTAAAGTGAGAGCAAACATGAAAATGGCTTAGAAGAGAGCTTTGGCTCAAGTTAAGGGCAGTTTCTTTTTCTCTTCATTTTCTTTCCTTGGGCTACATGCTTAATAATGGTCCAGATAGGGTTTTGAAGTTGGAAGAGCTGAATACTGAAGACATTTGGGTCCTTATTCATGTTCTCATGCAGATGAAGTCAGTTTTGTCCAAGGCAGCACACCAATTACATAGCAAGAAAGAATGATAATTCTCTTTCATAAAGTCTAGTTCTTCAGTAGATAGAGTCTTCTACAAAGGATGTTAACATCATTATCCTTATTTACTGACACAAAACATGAATCATAGGGAAATGAGTAACTTGCTCAAAGTTATACTAACCAAATAGTTGTTCTGGTAATGGAGCTCTGAAAAGGAGGCCTGATTCCCTGCAACATGCATATCTCGCATCTAGCTAGCTTTTTCTAATAAAAGGTACCATGGAAGAAACAGCAAATGCCATTTAATTTCAGGTAAAAGTTATGGAAAAAATTACACACGTGGGAGAAAAAAACACTTCTCAGTAACAATACTATGAAAATATATTGTATATGTAATTTGTATCTTTTGTTTGTATTGCATTGTTTACTCAGTAATACATATGAACATGTTCATTTATTACTCTAAAGGCTTGGTATATGGCTCTTCTCCCTTAATTAAATTAAGAAAGAATGCATTATTTTAAAATGGTTTGAGGCCTAAACTGTCTTTCAAACCAATTAGAATTCAATAAAAATAGAAATTTTTATTTTCCCCTTTTATAATAGAAAAAAAGAAGTGAACTGGGACTATGCTTCAGAAATGCAACACTTCCAAGTATCTGATTCAAAGCACCTATGTTCAGGAAATTCAGATGCAGATATCAGATACTTAACTCCTTTCCTAGTTTTGGATTTCAGTGGAGGGAGGGGCAGGGGCTCATTTTCCTTCAAAATCTGCAAAGTTAAGAGTTGTGTGAGAGCTCATATTGCCACTGGCCTCTCTAGTAATAAAGACTTAAGCAAACAGGAATTAACTAGTGTCCTTTGCCATGAGCTTTTATATGTCTACTGTATTTGAAACAGTGCAGTGCTTATCATTTTTCAGCACTTCAAGTGCACTCTTCTATTTGTATCCACAGAGGACATTTGAAATTCATAATTCGAAATCACCTTTAAAATCTCAGTTTAACTGCATGCAAGGTCTAATATGATAACTAAATGAAAAATATAAAGCATTTTTCTGTAATGTGGATTTGCAATTATGATAGGGATCATATATATAATGAGATTTATGAGGGAGATGAGATGGAAGTGTTATACTGCTGAACATTTCTTTTTGTTATAAATCGAGAACATGATTCTTGGCGTATGAAGGAGTTCTGTGCTGAATGTCTTACTTCGTTAACCGTGGTATATCCTTCCTTCTTGGAAAATAACAAATAGCCTTGCCTGGTGTTTTTAACGTTTTTCAATTAGAAACAGAGAATTCTATACCATGACCTGCAGGAAACAGGTGGAGGAAACATAGCCAGCATTCATATCAACGTAAATGTAAATATACGTGGGTGCCCAGGGATTTCAAATTCAGACTGCCAATCTTAATTTCTCTCCTGTCAAAATACTAAAACGAGGGGCTTGGATCTACATCCTTTAAACTCTTAGGAAATACTGCAAGTGATTCAAGTACGAGCAATACCCAGCGCAGGCTTCTTTGAACATTGTGTTCCCATCCTAAACAAGCATTTATATTCTGGCTGTGTGTTCCAGCAGTGTATATTAAAATTCAGATTTATATGTATATAATTTTTCTTATTTTACAAGTTCTTCCCTTCAACGGGGGGGGGGGGAAGTTTGTAATGTAAGCTTGCATTTTATATCTTATACATTCATTACTTTTTTATTCAAAATCCTGATTTATAGTGGCTGTAACATCTCTTTTATAATAAACTGTTATATAATGCTATTCAGTGCACTGCAGCAGACAAGCAGTATTCAAAAGGGAACTAGAAAAATAATATTTGGATAGAGACATTTTGCAGTTTGGCATCTGATGTGAAAACAAAATAGTAAAATGGAGGGTAATTTTCCAGGGGAAATAAAAGTTGATGATGGGGAAAGAAAGGGTCTATCTTTGATTATATTTCTTAAACCCAGTAGTATTATAATATCTACCTCCTCGCTGACTAAAGAATATAATTTAATATTTAGCAATAAGTTTTCCTTTCTCCTGCTGTCTTTCGTGAAATGTTGAATGAATATGGTCACTGATACGCTGTTAGCAAATGTGTGATAATTTTCCTATTAAAAGTAGGAAAACATATATATGTGTTTACATATAACTTTGCTAGGAAGTCTGAACATTGAAATAACCGTTTTGTGTTAAATTTCACTGAAATCTTCTGAATGAAAAAAGGTCAGATTCATGAAGTGTCTTGTCTTGCATAAGATATATTTTTGTGCAGACATTTCATCACAAAAGATACACACACATACGGTTTTACAGATATTTTTATATATTAATTTCCTTCTAGGAACCCCACATCTAAATCTTTCTTTTCAGTCTTTGATAGTTACTACCACTATGGAATTTAGAACAATATAATTTGTACGCCTTGCCTGATGATCTTCATCTGATTCCTTAATCATATCTGCAGTTCACATTTGCATTCTTCAACAGTTCACTGATCAGTAATTTATTTTCAGACTTCTGCATGCCAATTATCAATGCAAGGTTCTAATCAAAACTGGACCTAGCATTGTGTATTACTTAATTTAAAATTAAAAACTCATTATAAAGTTAGATTAATCTGAGATGAAAAGCTTTTTTTTTCTTCCTTCATATTTTTTCTAAGTAACTGCCTTTAGTATTGAATTACTTGTTGATAGCTCAGAAGGATTCTTGCTTGCTGAAGAAATTGATATTTGTAGTGTGAGATAACCTCATAAATATTACTAATATAAGTCAAATTATGGTTCAAAACAGTGGTAGAATTCTTAATACTAATCCTCTCATTGGAGATCAAGCTAATCCAGTTCTTCACAGTGTTGGCTGGTGGGTGAGCTATTGCATGAATCTTATTACAGCTGTTCAAAATTTTTGCCTTTTTCTCCTGCATGTTAGTGTCATTTTTTGTAATTCTAATGCAATGCTTGTAAATGCAATGTTTGTAACAGATTTAGTTCAGATTTGACATACAGCTATTCTAAGACACTCAGTCCTCTTTATACCAGAAAAAAAGATACTTCTTTACTGTTCTGCTTTTTCGGTGCAATGTTGAACATCAGCTTGGAGACACTGGTGTTTATTTTACTCTTTGCTTATGATTTCATACACCATTCCTCTCAAAACAATTATAATCCGGCAACTTAGTGACTCACAATCAGGAAAGACTCTTTTGGAAAGCTGATCTGAAGGTAGTCAATAGAAGCATAACTTGTCATTTGAAATCTTAATAGCCTTAAAAGATTTGTAAGCAAACAGTTCTCTGTTGGCAGGGACAAACAGTTGCTTATATAGGGAAAGCATTAACTATTTTGTCAATAGTATCCACAGCCATGTAACATCGGACTACAGCTACTTTTGTACCATTAATTACAGTAATTTATTATAGGATTCTGTCCCCTTACTTGGATGACTTTACAATAGTAAGGGCTGCTGCAGTAGCAGTGAAAACTATCTCTGAATGATGTAACGATTAAGTAAGCCATCCTGATCACTTGAAAGCTGTATTCCTACTTTGTAAGATCTGCTTTTAGTATCAGTAGGCTCTGTCTGGAAACTAACATATGCACAGATAGTTCCTTTATAGGACTTATTAACATTTCATTCTCATAAATGAAATATGTGGTTCCTTAATCAGGACATATAATTTCTTTGGTCAGAGATACATTTATGTAGAAACAATTCCTTCGTGTTCTTAAACAAGTATTTTCAACTGCTGAATCACAGACATCAACTTACAAGTGGAACTGAACCTTATTTGAGTGGATTCTGAACAGTGAGATCTGCAAGTTGAGAGACTTTCCAACACCTTTCTTCTTGTGATATTTTCGTGTGTGTGTGTGACATTCTGGAATTCAGTTACACTTATTAAATGTTATCTTTGAATCCTGAAGACTGGACAATCAGATGTTTTTTTGTTGAGGAGATGAAAGTAGTGGAAGAAGTTCTTACTTCCTTCCTCTTTCCACTTCTCTCTTGTCTTGGCATAATCTTTCTTGTCTGTCAGCAGCTGTTCACGATGCTGAAGCTTATATGTGTAGTTTCTTTTTCTCTCATGCTTGCAGGCATGGATCTCTTCTCCAATTGCACGGAGGAATGTAAAGCACTGGGCCACTCAGATCGGTGCTGGATGCCTTCCTTTGTTCCATCCGATGGACGCCAAGCTGCAGATTACCGCAGCAATCTGCATGTACCTGGCATGGACTCCGTTCCAGACACTGAAGTGTTTGAAACACCAGAAGCCCAGCCGGGTGCAGAAAGGTCCTTCTCCACCTTCGGCAAAGAGAAGGCCCTTCACAACACTCTGGAAAGGAAAGAGTTGGATGGACTGCTGTCTAATACACGAGCGCCTTACAAACCACCATATTTGAGTAAGTACTATTCAAAAAGCCGCATGAAAGCGTTCCCTTTGCGGGAATAAAAATTAGCTCTTTCTGCTATTCGTAGTAGGGATCATACAGACATCATTTTAGGAGCAGTGGGGAAAAATGGGTTCTCTTGGATTCAGGCACCACTGAAGAAGGCATTGTTCAGTGCTTTTGAAAAAAGACAAAACCTTGGTTGTTTTTAGTATGACATGATAGTCAACCACATAAGTGTCAGCTGATATCAGTGGGGGAGTTGCTCAGTTTTGTTTTCTGATGCTGGATTATTTCCAAAGTTTTCTTGGATAGATTGTTTAAACATTGGCATTGCCCGGCTAACATTTTTGAGACTAAAATTGAGAGCGCTGTCCTAGGAGCTTCTTTTTATGATTAAGCAGTATCTTGTGAATAAACAGTGTGTGTATTATTTTGAAGTAACTATAAACATAGTTAACATTCAGGGTTGCAAGGAAGAAGTCAAAACTTTTTGTCTTCAGTCTGATCATCTTTCAGCCTACATAGTACTGACTTTTGTCAGTGCTCTTCTGTGCCTTATGCTTGTTCCAAAATCTTGCCTCTTTCTTTAGTAACCCTTTGACTATGGTTGGGTGGTATGAGTGTGATAGATCTTAAAAAGATCTTCATAATTCCTTTTGGAGTCTCAGCCAGTTGTAGAACCCTTGAGTAATACTTTGATCTAATATGTCTTTTCATTCTACTTAGCAGCCTTCTGTATTTTATTAGAGACTTTAATCTCCTTGACTTCAAGAGTTTACGATGTTTATCTCATCCAAATAAGCCAAAGACATTAACACTGCAATACTTATCCTTTTTAAAGCAACAGAAGTCCTTTAGGACAGCAGATCAGGGTAAAAAAAAAAAAAAGGAATCTGACTGAATCGTATTAATTTCTTTATTTTTATAAAGTGTTTAGTTGTTTTGAAGGGTGCTGCACTGGCAGTCCTGGCATGTGAAAATCTTTGCTACAGATCATACTCAGAACAGACAGGTCAGTTCTCCCATCTTAATTAGTTCTCCAGGTATTTCAGTCTTGAGAAAGGTCTTTTTGCCACTTCAGTCTATTTTTTAGTTTTCCTGTACTGAAAACTTCTAAATTTGTAAACTAATTCTTATATGTGAATGCCATTCCTAAAAAAACATTTCCTGATACAATCATCTTATTTTGTGTAGGCTGTCAGGTGTCAATCATCTGGTTGTACTCTAAAGACCAGTGTGAAATTTCACTTAACTATGATCTAACAACTCATAACTGTTTTTCCCAAGCTGGTCTTCCATCATATACATCTAAGAATCTTAGTAGTAAGATGTAATCTAGCAGTACTAGTTTAATCTCCATCACTTCATTTAAAAATTTGTGTTTTGTAGCACCGATGGTCTAATCAAAACAGAGTTCTGATGTAGTCTGTGCATTACAATGGTGATTTTATCTGGTGGCACGACAAGGGTAGTTCTGGTCTGGTTTATTCTAGGCCTGGGAGTTTTATTTCAAACAGCAGTGAAATACCTATTTTATTGACAGTTTAGGGATTTTATATTTTGTTCAGCTAACATAAGCAGTATTATTGAACAACATGCTTACATATAGGCACTGGTCTACATTTTGCACTTTTCTGGACAAGGGTATAAAAATTGGAGGTAAAATGTGGGAAGCAGACAATATGAAGGAGAGATATTACATAATCCACACTTAATAATCCAGATTTAATTTAGCTTTTTTATTTGAACCTCAAAGCTAAAACTGCTACAAAACAAGAGTAATATTTCTCCATTTTATTTTCTCTTGTTTAATATTTTCTGTAGTAAAATTTTATATTATAGTTGTATAGCAAATAACAAGAGCAAAGAGAAGAAAGTGAGCACAATATTTGTAACAATGAGTAAATAATTATCAGTAATTAATAAACCAAGAGGAATTCTTAAGAGGAGTTTGATTCAGAAGGAACTTTAGTTGAGCCACTGGGTAATCGCAGCTGTAATAAATTCAACTTCTTACTAAAGAAGGCCATATCAAAATCAGTTTGTCAGTAAAAGATTTTTTTAAAAGAAGCAATTAAAGTGTATTAAACAGAACCTTCATATTCAGCAAGAATACTGTATAAAAAGTTGCAGCATGTATAAAAATGGCCATATAAAAAATCAGTAGCAAAGAAGAAAAAGTATATTGAAGAATGCAAACCCTATATGAACTAAAGAGGTCTCTTAAAAAAAGAAATACTCTTAAGCAAAACAACCACAAAAGAAGCATAAGTTCTAGCAAGTAAACATCAGGATAGCAATTAGTGGAGGTAAGAGGGATTAGGGGAAATAGCCAAAGGCATGTGAATATAGACAATTTTTAAGATGTCAAGTGTAGTAAGGTAGTAGAGAGTGGGTGGTTCTCTTGAGCTGCAGTTAGTGAGGACAGGGAAATTGCAGAGACTCTAAACTGTTTCTTGCATTTATATTTACCAAGGGAGGGATGGAGGAAGAAAGCCATATTCAGGAAGCCACCCTCCCAGGTAGCCATTTCAAATAAATGTGCATGACTAAGTCATGGAAGAGGATGTTGTTAAAAAACTGACTAAAAGAAATAAGAAGTCAGTGGCTTTTTTATTTAATTTTCAGTTTCTAACAAAAGCTAGTAACCAAAGAATGACAGATAACAAATGACAATGTGCTTATTGTTAAAGTGCTAGAAAATTTTGTACAGTACAGACCAGTGAGAAACCTTAGCATAGGACATAAAATTATCACTTTGGGGGTTCAGGAGTAAAGTAGCTGGCATCTGTCCAGTATAACTGCACAGAAAGATTGTCAAGCTATTAGAATTTTGATACAGTGGGTGGAAATTAATCAATATGGTGTATTTGAACTGTCAAAAGAAGCCTTTAACATAGCTTTTGTTTAGTAGAAGAGGCTACAAAAGTAAGCACGTGTTGACAGAGGGCAGACCATTACCAGACTCTCTGCCCAAGAGAAAATTTCATAAGGATAAATAAAACATTTAAGCAGAAGCAGAGTTCCCCAAGTGTCTATGCAGAGAGCCATGGGGTTAAAAGAATTAATTATCTAGAAACAGAAATGAGAGAAATGATGTGGTATTTGCAGATGACAGAAAATGGTTTAGATCAGTCAAGTTTCCAACAACCTAGTATGTCCACATTGCACAGCAGTGCATGGTCCAGAAAAAACAGTCTGCTTCTGACGTAGCTTGCTCTGAATTGAAAGCTGCGGAGCAGTGTCAATACAATGAAACAACTGGTTGAGCTTACTTTTTAAGTTGTGCCATTAACACAGTCGCTACAAATGTAAACCAGTATCTCTATGTGGAGCTTTCACTGTGCCATATGAGCGTATCTGCTTAGGTTTGTGTCAGGTTGGTGGTTGCTTCACTGTGTTCCAATGGACATGTTCAGTGCAGAACGTTGGAAATGATAGGTGAGGAAAGCAATGTATATTATGAGAAATTTGAACTCTTCTTGAGGAAAAAGGACCATGGAATAATTCCTGGAAAAGTATTCCCCAATGTACAAAGCCAGCAAGAAGCAAATAAAATGCCAGGTTGTAAAAAGGAATTGAATTAAAAATACAAAAAAAAGCTATTACAAAAACCTTACAGAAAATATATCACTATGCTGATCTAGTTATTAATGCCACAGAAATACATAGCATAAAAGCGAAACTACTGAAAATATTCCTATGCGAAGTCATATCAGAAGTTTATTACCAATTAATTCAGACAATCTGTGATAGGGACATGAAATAAAAAAAAGGAGACTGCATGAAAGCTGGGCACTCATTTGTCATTTTCAGTGGTAAGAGCGCAACAGGGCAGCAAAAGTTGAAGGGCAAGTAGGTCACAAACCAGTAAGATCGTCCACGTTTGATAAGATGGTACACATTTGACACAAAAAATACAGTAATTGTAAAATTTGTTATTTTGGGGCATGATTGAAACCAAAGGCTCACTACTGGGGATTTGGGTGTATGTTTCTGTGTTGCTTGAGGTCATTGCATGGATAAATGAAACCAGAAGCAGCAGCTATGTTAAAAATTATAATGTAGAAAAGGATATTAATGCTTATACTGAAAAGGGTTTCTCTGTGTCCCATTGTCAAATTTTCACCTTACTGGTCTAAGCCATTAGATTTATTCACACACCAATTTCTACGTAAACATATGTGTTCTGTTCATTATTTGAGTAGAGCACACCAAAAGTATTTTGTACTCAAAAGTGTTTTGTACTTTTTTTAACTCAAATAATATATTATAAAGAATATATTTTCACTCATGTTAGTTACAAAATTGTGATGGGATCAATAAATTGTGGTGGGATTGAAAACATACAGTGCCTCCAGGATTCTTCCAATGTATATGCACTTCTTAGTGCATAATTTACACTTACTTTTCTTACTCATCCATGTGATTTGAATACTGCCCTTCTTCAAACAGTTAAGAAATTTTCATAATGATTTGAATGTTCATAAAATACGAGATTCTGAACTTGACTGGAGAAAATCAGTGAAATAACACTGATGAGGAAAAAAAACCCGAACATACCTTTTGAACAGTTCCTATATGTTTAAAATAGATTCTGAGCATTTCTATTTATTTTTTTTATGCAGTGATGGTTATAGTAACCATTATTTTTAGAAGTATTCCTATTGTAGTGACCAAAACCTAATGCGAAATTCAAACACTGTTGTGCTAGATTCTGTAAGATATCTAACAGAGACTGTCTTCACAATGAATACCTGAGCAGTCTGATTCTGATTTATTTCTAGTACTTTGGACCAGGTCCTGAGATGGTAACAGTGAGATCAGCATCATTACATCCATGTCAGTAGTGCTTTGGTCTATAATTTATGATATTTTTAATGTAATTGTGGATCATTCTAGATGTGTATTCCTTTTATAGTACTTGAGAATTTTCCTAGTGTTACATACTCACTTTAGTGATAGAATATTTTTTTCTTCCTATTAAGAGATTAGGAATCTTAATATAT